TTGCTAACTCTTCACAGAGAATGACAAAGACCAGAGCCAGGGAAGGCCAGGACAGGTCTGGGAGCAGCAGGTCGCACCTCCTACAATTTGGCCCTCCCTTGGCAGAGCTATGATGACAGCTGGGGGCCCAGGAAAGCTCTACCTCACAGCCCAGGGTCCCAGCCTAGGCCATAAAGGAAGAGGCAGAGGCATGTATAAATCCAATCAATACTGTGAAAATTTTGTAAGCGATAGATTTAGGCACCCACTGAAGAAGAATCATCCACGAGCAACGAAATTAGGAGACTTGGTGCCATGCGGAGATCAAATACAGGGTTTTTGGAGTCAGATCACCTGAGAGCTCTAACCCCAGATATGGCACTTTCTAGCTCTGTAAGCCTTTTTCATTAAATAAACATTCATCGATCACTTACTAGGAGCTAGGAGCCAGGCTCACTCTCAGGGATGTATTGGTCCCTGCACCTTTGGAATTAAATTCTAGTGGGAAGGACATTAATAAATACACAAAACAAGAAAAGTGCCAGATAGTGTTAAGAATATAGAGGGAACTTAACTAGAGTGATGCAGTCAAGAGTGACTGGGAAAGCTACTTTCCTTTCCTTTTCTTATATTCCTCTCCCAAGGGCATGCTTAGAGAGGAAGATACATCGAAGTAAGAGAGAAACATCAGTCGGTGGCCTTCTTTATGCTCCCCAACTGGGGATCAAACCCTCAACCCAGGTATGTGCCCTGACCGAGAATCCCCGCAACGTTTCAGAGCACAGGACGATGCTCGACCAACTGACCCACTCTAGCCGGGCAAAGGAGAGCTACTTGCTAAAGATATGTTGGGAAGATCTCTCAGAGATGGCATTTAAGTCTAAATTTAGACGATAACAAGGAGCCCATCAGACAAAGGCAGGTGTAAAGGGATGTGCAAAGGCCCTGAGATAGGCAAACGGGGCCTTTGGAGAACTGGAAGGCAGGCCAGTGTGTTCAGTTACTTCTGTGTGGGTAGCTCACTTTTGCCACTTGTAAAACAGTAGTTGTGAGAATGAGACTCTTGACAACACATCTGCACACAGTCTGTGTTCAATAAATGTAAACTGCTAGAGTTTCCTCCTCATCACGGCCAAGGAGATCCCGTCATGGAGGTGTGCAGGCAGGGGCTGGGTAACCGCCTCGAGGCACGGCCGGGTTATACTGCCCCTCAAACTCCCTCAGCAGTTAGATCCCAGGACCAGTCGAGGGGAAAGGAGAAACGGTAAAACTGTTACACTCAGGCTTCCTACCCAAGGCCCTTTAAAGAAGGCACTGAATCATGCAACAGCGGGGCGCCTACCTGACTAACTCATTCCACAAGGGGCCCTTCCCATCTGAGAGCCTATGATTCGAATCCCCAGGTTGTCAAAATCCCCACAGGTAGCCAGGTGACACTGTCTTTAGCCTTGAGATCTACCCCCGCTAGGAGGCTCTAGGGTAAAACCGCAACAGAACTGACAAGAAAAGGATGGCTTGTTCTGTCTCACCAGCTTTAATACGTGTTAGCTACTGACAGAATGACGGAGCAACGAGGATATTCTTCGGCTTGACATGCATCCCAAACCATTTTATTATTTCATGTTTAACATGTTCGAAGCAGAAATGTACACATCACAGACTCCATTGGCAATACGTTTCCCTTTAAAAACAAACAAACAAGCAAACAACTCTATACCTTGGCCTACTCTCTCAAAATATTTACTTACTTGGTGAGCTTTCTGAAGCCTACTAATTCAGGCTGTCAAAGACGCAGTTGCTGATGACAAACTTGGCTTAGGTATCTTTAAGTTAGGAAAACAAAGGTCTCCGTTTACCTCGCCCCAAGATCTTAATCATTAAAGGTCATGTTCTTTCAAGTTCTCTTCAAAAGTTCACTCAAATCCAAGGTAAATGTACCACAACCATAGAGAAATGTATGGTGTCATATATCCATGAAACTATTTCACCACCTACCCTTGATAATTTCCTATGTCTGTTTAGAAGGTGGAAATCACATAAAAAATTTAAAACCTCATACAAATCATAAAGCCAAGTAATACTGAATGAGGGCAATATAAATAATCCCAATAACTAAATATAAAATGCACAAATATTTGTATTATGTCAGGCTTTGAGCCTTCCAAACTCAAGGATTTGGGGAGGGGGGAGAAGGAATCTTCATAAACCAAAAGATTAATCAGTTTACTCTCAACATTAGTTTTTCCCACCCTAATCTTTGCTCCCTCCTCCATATCCAATCCCCAAAAGGAAAAAAACCTAGAGGAGCAGACTAGAATTGAAATTCTCCTATAGAAAAGCATCCCTTTAAAACAATGAAAGGCAACGACTTAGGCATAGAACATGTCCAGGAAAGATGTTTTTTTGAAATGTCTTATATGTAGATGATTCCTTTGACTTAATCTGAACTAAAAACCCCTATTCAGAATGTACATTTGGACATATCAAAAGACATTACCACTGTGTACCAATATTTACCTTAAAAGAATCAAAACTGTGTTTTCCAGAAAGCAGAATTGGGGCTAACAGGCCCATTCAAATCCAAATGTATCTACTGGCTTTTGCAACATAATCCAGCCAAAGGAATGTGATCCATGTCTCAGCTATGCAGCAGCTAACTTTTCAGTGTGTTTTGAAGTAGGTGCCACCAAGGGAAAAAAATGTAACAGTCAGATCCTTGGCATTAAAACACTCTAAGCAATCTGAGAGTCTTTAGAAATAAGAACCACGTAATACAGGCTCATTGAAGAACTTTAGAAAATACATATGAGCAAAAAAGAAAAATAATAATCCCAAGATGCCAAGGTAGCACTATAAACATTGTAGTGTACAATCTGCTAAATTGTTCAAAAAAATAATTTGCACATAACTGAATTCATATTGCATATATTTTTTTACTTAACCATGCCAAGAACCTATTTCTATATGTATATACACATATCAATAACATTTTTATGAATGTATAATCTTCTACTTTATGAGTACACCCTCATATAATTAACTCCAATGAGATTCTCTATGTCAGTTCAGATTCACTTAGTGTATACACTAAGTGAATACAGTAAGTTGATCTCTAACTCCTAAAATTATCTGTCCATGGCACCCTATTTTAATGACACATTAGAACTTTGTGCTCTTTTCACAATACTTGGGGAAATTATGACTTAACCAGTCCTCAATACTGGATTTTTATGGTGTTTACACCATTCCTATTCTAAAAATGCTGGGATCTTGCTTGTGCATTTCTGTATATTCTAGGAAATAATTCTAAAAATAGAGTTAATGGGCCGATTGGTATACACATGTTAAAAACATGTGGCAATTTCTGCCCAACTGTCCCCCAACAGTCTATGGGAATTGTAAGTCTTTTTAAATGATAATTTTTCATCTAAAGAATAGTCTGGAAGTTACGTGCACTCATCATATACACTTAGTATTTCGAAACTTATACAATTATTTTTTTATGGGCATGGGTAAAGCACATAGTTATAAAGATCAAAGGTCTTACTGTAATAGAGGGTGACAACTATTTAAGAATATACCTCCTTACAATGTATGGAACTTGACCAGCATGGATATGTTCAACTGTCTCACTTTCACTTTCTTCTTTGTTACATTTACATAGTTCTAGATATACATTCTACTCTTAAGAAGATATTGATAATCCCTTATTCTACATAGTACATTATATTACTAAATCATTTAAAACAAAAAGAATTTTAGAGGAAGAAACATCATCAGAGCATTCCTTAAAACAAGATAGTAAGCTGTAATGTACCCTCAAGAGATCCTTCAAGCTCCATAATAGTAGCTACATATTTAGAGCCAAGACTGCAATAACCAAAATCTCTACCGATCAATCAATACCAGTATCAAAGAAAGAAATGTGAATTTTCAATGCGTATGTATGTCTATTAATTTAGAGCTTATTTTCAGTGCATATTTCTGCCATTTCATATAATAAGAAATAAGCTCCTAACATAATATAAAGATAGTACACTGAGCAAAACAGGCCATATGTTCCTTTTTTTATTTTAAAGTGACACTGGTTGTAATTTTATACCTGAGAGCCACTCTCAAGGTTACTTAAGTATAGTGTTCACACCCAGGGTGGAGTTCTGTGTAATTTTCAAAGCTCAAAAAAGCCCAGCCTGCTCAAAAATATCTCCCCTTACAGCCTGTCTCAAACTTACATTTGAAGCTTTTTAAAAATCTAGAAATTATTATTCAATACGTCTGGAGAGGAGCCAGTGCATCTGTATTTTTTTAAAAACTCCCCAGTTGATCCCTTTGAACAGTGAGAGTGGAAAAGCACTCGGTTATATAAAAAGACTGGGGGAGGGGGTGGTATCTTAGGTCCCCAATTTAAACGTTCATATGAAAACCATTAATCTGTCTTGGTCTAGTTCATTAGATTAGATTACCTAGGTGAAAACTGTACCTTGAGAAGGTCCATAAAAAGTTTCAAAAATGAAAGCAAAGGTAGGACACCTGTTGGCCTAGCCCTGGCCACCAAAAGGAACCGGGGCAAGGACATATGGCAACCAAAGCAAAACTTCAGAAGGTCCATCCTGCCAGAAACACTGGTACTTCCTACTTTAAGCATATAATCCCTTCAACTTCATAAAATAGGCTGAAAGGGAGAAAAATAAATGCTCAGCTATATTTTTGTGTTAAAGGAGGTTAGTCTGATAAATGAACAGCATTCAGCTGCCGGTCACAGCGTCACCCAGCAATGCCAGTCAGCGCAGAACGAGATTGAATTGGGTTGAGAAATTAAGATAGGACACTCAGAGACATTATGTTACCCTTTACAATATAATACTCCTTTGTCAGAATTATGTTTCTCAAAAGAAATCTGTCTCACAAGAACAGTGCTACACAAGCCACACACACACACACCAAAAAAAAAAAAACACCACCTGTCTTTTATGTAGTTTATGCATAAAAACTCATCATTTTCATAGGCTTCCACTACTCACCAGATCTGGACTTGATGATGTCACTGAACTCGTTCTGCCCGTCGTCTGGCCTGCCCTCCTCTTCTCCATACTTGGCCATCTTTGCTGATTTTCAATAAAATCCAAACACTTGACTAAATCTTCTTTCTTTAAGACATCAATACCTAAAGAGAAAAGGGAAAGTACTGACTTGAAAAAAATACATATATACATATTTTATTTAATATATATAGTCATATACAGTTATATATTGTAACCATTTATTCAGGAAATATTTATTCAGGGCCTACTATGTGTAAAGGCACTGATCTGGGCAATGGGAATAAGAGTATCAAAAAGCAATTAACTATATAATGAATTATTTCTGATATGCTACAAACATACAACAGAGAAGCACAGAGTAACATCATCATATAGCAGAGGAATCTAACCTGCCCTGGGCAACTAGAGAAGGCTTTCTTGAAGAAGGGACATTTGAGCCAAGTTTTCAAGGGTGAGAAGAATTTAATTAGGTAATCCCTGATTAAATTCAGAATTTTTTCAAATTACACATTTTAGGATAATTTGAAAAATCTGAATTTGGGCTGTATATTAGACAATATTATTTTATCAGCATTAAACTTCTTGAATATCGGTTAATGGTTTTGTCCTTGTACAAGGATATGCCTTTGATTGTAGAAGACACATGATGAAATATTTAACAATTAAGTGTGATATTATCTTCAACTGAACTTCAAGCAGGACAGCATACATCCGTCTATTGTATGTCTATATATCTATATGTCTGTATGTCTGTACATCTATATCTATGTACAAATGTATACATATACATGCAGAGAGAGAGAGACATGAAATATTGGAAAACGCTAAGTGGGGAATATAGTTAAAGAGCATATGGGGGTTTTAGGTTTATATTCTTTCTAGTGTAATATTACAGGCAGGAAATGATTGTGGCCTAAACAAGGGAAGATGGAAAGAAACAGGTGCATGTGTGGGATATTTAAATACTGAATAAAGAAGGTGCACAGGATCTGGGAACTGGATGGATACGAGAGGTTCAGGATACAAAGGCACAAAGTGACTGCCCAGCTTCAGCTGGGGTAACTGGGTAGAGGGTGAGTCATGCACTGAGCTGGGGCTCTGGAGCATAAGCCACTGAAGGAAGAAGTAATGAATGCAGTTTGGATTTGCTGAGTGTGAGGTGCTTCTGAAATACTTAAGTGGAAATAACAAAAAGCAGTTGGATATACAGGTCCGATCTCAGGAATGGTCTGAATCAGATACAAATCTAAATAGTTATATCATTTTAGAAGGTGTATCATATTAATTCTGCTGGGTATAGACATCACTCAATAAAATAACTTTAATCTTTAGAAACTAATTAGTTGGACACATCTTTAGAATTGAAAGAATTGAGGGTTCTATCCTCAATACCTAACCTTTTCTTTAAGAATGTGAGGGTACAGCATCACCCTAATAGTTTCTATAACACAATGCCCCCAAAACCCAAACAGAATCAGAATTCAATCAGCAATTGGGCTCTATCCTAAGAGCCCCTTAAGTAGACTCCAAATGTGAATTAAATAATCATTGCCCTGCTGGCATGGCTCAGTGGTTGAGCATCAACCTGTGATTGAGAAGATTGCAGTTGGATTCCTGGTGGGGGCACATGCCTGGATTGTGGGCTGGGCTGCTGGCTCAATCCCCAGATAGGGGCCTGCGGGAGGCAGCCAATCAATGATTCTCTCATCATTGACATGTCTGGGAATATAACAGTCAACACATCCAAGTATTAATCTGTGAATAATGGACAATATTTCACTTATTACAACATATGTCAGAACCAGAGTTTACTGCTAGCTAGGATTAGACAACTAAATTCTTTAAGTTAAGGACACATCATATGGTATTATTATTTTATATTTCATTTTGCATATGTATGTACTATTCAGTATTTTCTATATTATCTTTATGACATATAATATTCAAGGAAACATCACATTACTTTATAATATAAATATGTTACATATAATAATTATTGTATTTTTATCCTGATCAGTTAGAGAAAGGGTATGTTATAAAAACAAAGAGATCAAAGTTATCTCAGAGAAAAATTTTGTGTTAAGAGTTTGAGGCAGATAAAACAGTGATAGATTGTTAAATGATTGACTCTCCAGTAGGGAGGACTGTGTGGATTGTGGATCATCAGTCTGACAAAATTTATGAGTATAAAAAACTTTTTTCATTTTTTTATATTGCTCTACTACTGTGAAGACTTTAGGGATTACTATGAGATTAAGCTCCCTTTGGGGAGTACCTACCTGTAAAAGATTTCCTGAATTCTGATGTGTACTATATTATATTCAAAAACCAAAAACTTTGTTCACAGGAATGGATGTAAAATTTTATTATAGAAAGTCAGGTTTGCCCAACAAAATTCTCTTTACTGGAAAACTAACTATCCTCTTTGAGAGATATTTCTAATGCTCTCCATAACCAGTCTTAGCAAAAGGTCTTCACTCCAGTGCTTTCCAAAGACCTATCCCACCCCATAAAAAAGCAAACTGTTTACACAGGACTTTATTTCATTTGCACATTAAATTAAATTCATTATAATATTTTATTTTGGCACTCTCCTTAAGATAATTTCTCAAATTTTCCCTTCTTGATGATCAAAATCCCTTACATGCTACAAAAATACAGCAGAAAGGGGGATCAGAGGCCAAGGGGAGAATGGGAAGGAGGGAGAAAAAGTGGCAGCCACCAACTGCCACCTGTTGCCAGGAGTGGTAGGGTTGAGCACCTCCTTCTAAATCGATAAATGCTGCAGCGACTTATAATTGGCTGTCAGGAGGCAGAATCAAAGTTTCATCACGAACACCTTCACCTCTGGGAGATGGAGGGAAGGCCCCTTTCCACACAGGGCTGGCTGAGAAACAGAATAAATGAACGGTACGCTGCTTTAGAAGCTTTAAGCCCTTTAAAACTGTAACTTCTTGTTACGGCTGCTCTGTCTCTGGGCCCCGATAAGGATTTCTGCGAAGGTTAGCCAGGTCTTCTCACTGAAACCAATACACTAAACTCCACGTTCACCAACTGTTCTTTGGAACAGGTCTGGCTGTCCCATGGACCTGAAGCCATGACGGTGGCAATAAACCAACCTGGGGTGACAGGATAGGAGATGGTCTTAAAGGGAAAGCTAATGTTTTAATTTTAAAATAACATGGGAATTACACACTGTAAGAATACAGATATGTCCAACGATGTACAATTTTGATGGAAATGAGATGCTGATCCTTGAGTAAAAAATACTCATTCATTGACACTGGGGACCAAAACCCTCGCTAGAAACACTGGAAAGGGAAGCCGCTGGGGGGGGGAAGTTTGCCACTGTGCCTGATACATAGTAAAAGGCACCACCCACTGCCAAGAACTGCCATTCACTCTGGGAAGCGCTGCCAGGGAAGGTTAATACTACAGTGATTAATACTGTTTACAGGCCCATAAATTGTATGTAAACACCCAAAGGAGAGTTAAAGAGCTGCCTCATGGGTCCCATAAATAAGGGTGGAGGGGGTGGGAAGTGACTGCGTAACGCGGGGCTCTCGCCGCCTGGAACTCGGGAAGCTGGAGCGCCCACGAGCCGCGCTCCTCCGCGGGCCGCGTCCCCCGCGCCCACCTGCCACCAGCCAGGATGGGCCAGCCCGGCTTCCCGAGGCCGCTGCAACTTACTAAGCGGTGCCACCGCCGGTCCACGAGGCGGTGAAGCTCTGGCCCCGACGCCAGCACCCGGGGCCCCCGGGAGCTCGTGCGCTCGGGCGGCGGCTCCCGCTGCACGGACCCTCGGGAGAGCCGCGTGGGACACTGACCCGCGAGGCCCCGGCGACCAAGGTGACCCGGTGGCTGGGAAACGGGAGGCTCTCCCCGGACCATCCCGGAAAGCGAAGCCCTTAGACCAGGTTAGACCCCGGGCTCTCCACTTGAACGTAAAACAAATCGCGGGCCGTCCGGCGCCAGGAGGTCCGGCGGGTTTTCTCCTTCCCTAGAACAAGTCCCTTTCCTGGCCTTGGGGGAAATTCTTTTACCAGCGAGCCTACTAGAACTTGCACAGCCTAAAATGGGTGCTTTGTTGGTTTTTCTAAGTGGCCTTGGACAACCAGAGCCTGGGAGCCGGGGCCAAAGGTGGGCATGAATGACCTTACCAGTTGCAGAAAGAGATGCCAAGACTCCGCACCACGCACCGTCCCCTCTCCGGAGCCCCACCCTCGGGAGCAGCAACCGCCGGAGGTCGGACACGTTTCCTGCCAGGCGGAAGGCTGGGAGCTGCTCCCCTGCCCGCCGACCAAGCCGCCCGCTCCTAGCGGACACCTCCTGGGCCCCGCCTTCCCGGGCTGGGCGTGGGTGACGGGCCCCGGCC